TGATTCAGCTGTCCACAGTTCCGACCTGTTCACGAGGCTTACTGCTGATGCTAACCTCAGATGGATCCTCTGGTTACTCTCTGGCAACCTCCGCTCTCGACTCTTAGAACAAAGGAAAGTTCTGGCACTCGGACACACTGGCCATTCCGGGGTTGTCCGGGCTGAGTCTCAGGATGGTCAGGAGGCGCGCTGCGAGAATGTCCTGCCCTTCGGAGCCTCCTGCTCCTAGGCTGTCCTGCCCTGGAATTCTCCTTTGAATTCCCTTTAGAATAGTCCACAGAATTCTCCCAGGCCCTCTGTATTGCCTGTTTTTACCTGGAGGAACTTCAGCTCATTCATTGGCTGAAAGTTCCATGGGCATCAGAGTCCCACGTGGGTTACTCGGTCCAGTCCCTGATTGGTTGATCAAGGTGAGATATGAGTCACTTACTCCTGACACTTAGTAATACAGTCCAGATGTCCATCTGGCACTCCCTAGACAGATAGGCGCCAATGGATGACCATTGATCATGATAGCCAGACTTAGCTAAGTGCATCCCCATTTGGGAGCTGTCCCTTATCAAAACAAAACATCTTTAAATCAGCCTGCATGAATAGCTAGAAGAGAGAGATGAGGCCTCATTTGGGAAAGCACAGCAACACTTAATTCTGTCTTATTAATAAGCCTCGCCGCTACACTTAGAAAATCAACAAAACGTAATTTGGCCAGGGGTGCCCAGACTTTTGCATAAAACTGTATATAAAACAAAAAGAGAACAAATATATATATTTGTATTTGTTAATTTACCAACATTTTAATATTTTATTTCTCCCAGAGAAGCTTCAAGCTAAGGCCACTTACTTTATTCTTTCAAGATAATACAGTATGTTCTTCAGACCAACAAATTAGCTATTCACATTTTTTCTTTAAAAACAGAAAAATAATTTAATGTCTGAAACATGCATTTTAATCTGTGATTTCATATATTTTAAAGCATGTTCTGACAGTGCTTGACTTGTTACCTTGCACATCATACTTCTTCATCAGACGTGTATTGGAAGCTTTTTACAAGTGTCTATTTAGAAGTTAACACCAGTAATGGTACTGTATTTGGCAATTTGTGCACTGACCAATCTATCTCCTGCTGTCTCCTGTTGTTCTTGACATCCATGTCAAACAAAGGCTACCCACTCTGTTTCTATTAATATAATTTTGTTCTGCACCTAAGTGTTGCACTTTCCTTATATGCCTACTAATCACTGTTGTAAACCAAAGAATAGATTATGGACAGTGCTAGGCCTAGCCCTGTTAGCTTGATTAAAATGCCCAAACCCTTCAACATATAGAAGGATACTGCTCTAGAATTTCACTGTTTTTCTCAGTGACTGCCCTGTCTCCAAAGATTTTAGTGAATTTTCTAACAATCTCTTTTTTTACAGTAATTTAAACTAATCTCACTACCAATCAATTTCAGTTTATCCCAGAATAGTTCTCCCGCTGTGTCCAAAGTAGTCCATTTTCTCATACTCAATTTTCTAATATTCTTCATTGAGAACTTCTAGGATTTCTTCCTACACTTTGTTTTGTTTGTTTCTCCGTCTCTGGAAGCCAAAGCCTGATCCTTGAGCACCTTGAGCACATATCTGTTATATTGTTTTGCTTGTTTTACTTGACTATTTGCATACTTTCAGCAATTTTCTTACCTCTACTTCTTCCTCATATAGTTTTTGCCCTTTTTCTTGTTTTCTCATTGACCTTTAGTACTTTCTCAGTAAAAATTGAAGACAACTGTTTAGTGAAACCTCTGCTTTCCAAGCATTCCTTTTGCATAATTTATCACTTACATTCTCATATTAGCTTTCACTATTTCTGACAACACAACTAGTTGCAGGTTCTATTACTAAAACCTGATGTTTTCATCAGCTAATATTCAAACCTGTTTCTCTGCTAAAGCATCTAGACTCAATTTGGAGTGTCATAACAAAAGGTGTGAATACTTGACAGAATCATGACAATTCTGTTTACTTTCAAAAGCAAATAATAATTTACAAACAAATAATTTCCAGAGCTTTCATTTCACTTGTACATTGTAGAGTAATTTCTATAGATCAGTGACAAGAAACCACAAATACATGCATTTCTATTTGGGTTTGCAAAATAAATTGTGAAAAAAAGGCAACGGGAGTAAATACTTCCTGAAGGCATTTTCAGGTAAATCATGAAGCAGTTAAGTTTGTTTAAATATTAGAAAGGAATAAGGGACTTTAAGGGTAAAATATACAAGAAAATATGTTTTTATAAATGTTGTTTTTAATTTCTCTTCAAGAGTGGACAAGAAGAAAAATACGAACTGCTGAATGTACTGGAATTCACAAGGTAATGTTTTCTCAGAATGTCAAATTTGTTGTGTACAATACAGATACCTAACTGCTTAAGTGTCCCTGCTGAACTGCCTGCTGTTCCTACTTCCCTGTGAAGCAATCATTTTACTAATGTGGTTTTTCCATCATCATGCGTGGCGCTATGGCACAGTGGCTAGCATTATTGATCCTGTTGCACTGTTCACAGGAGCAGGAGTGTTAACTGCAGTGTCATTGATAATTTGCACTTTGTGTTTGTTTACTGTGGCCTGTCTAAAATACTGGGACTCTGAACTCAATTCCAGACCAGGGGTGCTATCTGTGTCAAGTTTGTATGTTCTCCCCATGTTGGCTGCTGGGAATGTTGACCCTGGTGTGAGTGTGTGTGTCTGTATCTATATGTGCCCTGTGATGGACTGGCTTGTCAAAATCTCTGGCTCCCCCGTGACCTTGAATTGGATGAAGGGGTTGACAATGGAAGGGTGGTAAGAAATGAATAAGGATATAATTATATTTATATAGCTGAAGTTATCACAGTAGTACACTTTCTTTCTAAATGTCTGCATCAGTTTAACTCATTCCCCCATGATTATATATGTGGTGTAATGGCTTAGCCGTGTGCCTTGCGTACTGGAAGTCGGGGCTTTGAACCCAGCTATCTCCATGAGTTTTCCTTTAACAAATAAACATTTATTTGAAAAACTAAAATAGCAAATATTAGGGACACTATATTGACATTTTTTTTATTTCTAAATATCACAACATGTTCGAAGCTAAGTGATTTATTAATAACAACGAATAATTGAGTTAGGCAGGAACAACTGTACCAGTTTACAAGTGTAAAAAGAAGCAATACAAAAAATTAAATAAAAAATAGGATACAATGACGTGTTACTGCCGAACTCAAACATCGCATGACTTTAAAAGCTTTAAAACATGGTTTAGATAGCAGAAAGTCACCTTACTCTTACAAGTAGCTTTTAAGCATTCTGACAGTACAACTTTGTCAGTGAAAAAAATGACCACGGGGACTTTTCCTTCCCCCCTACAGAATTTTCTCATGTACGAGTAGAATAGGCGAACCTTCCAATGAAAGACAGGTTTATTTCGCTCAAGACTGGCAGAAAACAGTCGAAACTCGCCACACCCAGACTGTTAACTCGATCAACCATTTTGACATGTTCCTATCCCTCCAGCCAGAAATAAATAAAACATTTAACTCTTTATTTCTCTTGATGGTAACTAACAAATTCAGTAATAGGTTTATTCCAATCTGAAAAGAGAAGAGAGAAAACACAATGTTTCACTTGTGTTTCACAGATGAAACATTGTTTTCTGTCTTCTATTTTCATCATGGAATAAACCTATAACTTGTTCCACTTAACAAATTGTCATGTTCACATCCTTGCAAAACAATCATGACGTTCTAATCCAATCAAAGGTTTGATGTTTTTTTTTTATTATTTTGAAACCATGATCTTGACATGCAGGTGTGAAGTAGAGTTAACAGATTGAGATTTTAAAAGGTCACTGTAATGCATATGGCCAACATTACAGGTTGTGCGAGCCATGTCGCTTTAACATTGGAACACTTCCTTTTTTACAAGTGTAAAAAGAGGCAATACACAACATGTTTCCTCTATAGCTTGATTTTGGCCATACCAAAGATCTTGATCTTCTTACCAAAGCTATAGTGCAGTAAATTGTCTGTCCCAACAAATGGTACAGATAAACTTGTACTATACTGACGAGCTAATATCTGAAGAAGGCTTCACAGCCAAAACGTTGTGTTTTATCTCTTCTCTTATCAGCATGGAATAAACCTATTACTTGTTCTCTTACTGTAACTACTGGATGATTTCTTTATCTGTTTCAGCTAAATGATGAGAATTAAATCAGTCAGAATCTCTGAATGCCAATTATTAAAATAACCCTTGTTCCTTTATTTGTTTAACTTAAAGAATTTCGTGAAGAAGTTTGTAATGTAACTCTGAACGAGTTTGTCAAGATCATGGTTTCAAAATAAAAAAAATATCAAACCTTAGATTTTGTGAGAACATGATTGTTTCCCAAGGATGTGAACTTTGAACTTTTTGTGATATTTAAAATATCAACGAATTCAATATAGTGTCAATAATATTTATTATCAGTAATAATGACAGTAGTGGCGGTACAGTAGTAGTTTGAAATTATTTTTTGTTATTAATAAATCACTTATGTTGTGATATTTAGAAACACAAATTCACTCCACAGCCAACAACAAGCTGTAATAATGGACTATTTTTATGTATTCAGTATAAAAGAAAAAAAACAAAAGTAATACTCTGATCGCACTTTGAACCATTGGATGCAGTGCTTTGTCGACTACCACTACAAGGACAAGTTTTTAAAAAAGAAACAGATGTCAAAATGTTTCAGAAATTTCCACCTGTTAGCTGCTTAGTTACATGATTTCATATTCATTTAAATATAAAGTGATGTTAAATCACTGCAACATTTATCTTTTTACAATAACAGCAAGTGGTGTTTTTACTATGTATTCTTAGAAAAGGATAAAACATTATAACTTTTTATGAAGTACACAATGTAAGCTTAATAATCTTAGAACAAGCATGTTAAAACCAGAACCCGCTGAGTTACCAAGTTAAAGACTTATACAACATACCGACTTTTTAATGTTTAATGATTAGCATGCTGTAATACACAGTTTAAAATTATTCAAAGTCTAAAGAGTATACAGCTTACATTCTTAATTGGATAAAGATTGTCCCAGTGACCGAGATTCGAAACCGGACATTTTCTGGCGAGAGCTCAAATGCTGTACATGAGACGTTAAGCTTTATTAGCTCTACCTGGTGGTTTTACAAGGTGCTTCCCTATTTATCATAATTCAATTAAAATGCAGAATAATGTGGTGTGATGCACCACATCTACCGCGTTTTAACGCAGCGTACTCCGCGCATTTTGAATGGCTGGATCTATAGCTATGCAAATAAAAAAAAACAGTGAAAAATGCAGGACATATCAAGTAGTTTGGATTCTATTTTCGAAATAACTTTCTGCTTCCTCAGAGACTAACTTTGCAACCACACAAAACCAGATATGGATATTGACATAAGAATTATAACTGGTGTACCTTTATAATTCTGAATAATGTGAGGTAATTGGCTACGGCCTCGCACGCGTTGACACAAAATACCGCGGTTGATTGGTTGACCGACAGGGGCACTCTTGCTCCATTGGTTGGTCGTAGAAAGATTTAAATGTATTTACTGTGCCCGTTTTAGTATTGAATATTTATGTGGAATTTTACCACTGAAGGGAAATCTTAGTAGCTGAGCATAAAAAGAATAGGAGCATACTGTAATGCGTGTGAAGGCCATAAACGATATTAATTTTGGAACATAAACATACAGTATATGGCTGGTCTCAGTACTTTAAAGAAAAATACACACCAGTATTCCATTTCTCCCTAAACATTTTAAGCATCGAAGTCTTTAACTAATATGATACCGGAGTCAACAAGCATACTTTTAGAATTTGATTAAAAGGGAATATAATAACAATGAATAGTCACCTATGCGTTACAATAGAAACATTTAAATAAAGCTGATACTGTTTAGACTTTTAATTATTTTTTTAAACTGTGTTACAGCAGCACAATGCACAATGCAACGTAAATCGCTATCTTTGTCTTCTGCGTAATAATGTTCACCTCTCTGTCCAGCAAATTAACAAAAGTAATAATAATGAACTTTATTGTATATGGCGCCTTTAAAGGTGGCTCCTCTAAGCGCTTTACAGGATAAAAACAATAACAACAATACTGTTAGGCTGGGCAAACGATTTTTATTATTATTTTTAAAAGAAATACAAAATGAGATATAATGATGTGTTCCGGCTTAGACATTAACAAAGAGCATAAAGGTCATAAAGGTCATAAACAATATGAATTTTGTTTATTAATATCATAAAGGTCATAAACAGAGAAACAGGAAGGAGACTCGGAGACCGCTTCAGAGAACACGTCAGGGCTGTGAAGATTAAAGATCTCTCCAAGCCCATTGTTTCTCATTTCACCTCTGACGGCCACGACCACACTAATCTCTCCGTCTGTGTTCTCAAAGACGTTTTTCCGAACTCATACATCAGAAAGACCACCGAAACTAAAATTATTCTGCAGTTAGGATCACACATTCTCCCTTCCCTTAACGACAGATTACTGTTCTTTTAAATTTTCTCCATTCATTGGAAGTTTCATTTCACACCTCTCTGCACCCATTCTGACTTCACACCTCTTGATTGGCCTCTCTTTCTGTCCCCTCCTCCCGCCTCTCACTCCTCCTCCCTCCCAACCTTTGTTCTCCCGCTACTTTACCTTTGCCTACTGCCCTGTCTCTCTCACACCTGAAGAAGGCTCCACGGCCGAAATGTTGTGTTCTCTTTCTTCTTTTTTTCAGCATGGAATAAACCTATTACTTGTTCCTTTGCAGCCTACGCATGCTGACGCAGCTACCCACCTGAATATTAATTTTGGAACATCAACATATTATGTAAACTGTATGTTGTTGTTATTGGTATTTTAAAGAAAAAATACTGTAAAATCCTGGGTTCGGTACAATGATTCAGGCATTCATGTGAAGGACAACAGAGCTTTCACTGGCTCAAAAAGACAAAAAGAATAACGGACACAGCGCGAGCTGTCCAAACCACACTTTTCCCTGGGTCAGAGATTAAATAAAACTTCACTCGCACCAAACAAATTACCACACACTGAACACTGAACATGTTAACCCAAATATGTCTCCCAATACTTTTAAGGTACATTACTTTGCTAAACTGTATTAAAAAAAAAACGATTACAAACGCCAGCAGAGAGACACACACACACACAGTTCTTCATTGTCAAAAAGTAATTGTTTTTTTTTACTTTCAGCACCCAGACAAACGCAAACGCGTTATTAATTAAATGCTTTTATTCATTCTTAATCGAACTCACAAGTTTTCATCTGCTGTTGAAGCTCTGTGAGACTAGACTCACACATGGCTAGACTTGACTCGGCTCTGGCTTTCCCATCTATACCGATGCACTGCAAGTACAACCCCCCTCTCTGCAGAAGTGCTGGCTGTGACGAATTAAACCAGTTTCACATGTGTTTTCAAAGTAGAAGGGGGCGAGATTTCCAGCAAAAGACACCTCCCCCCCTCCAAAACCCAGTAAGTACAGTACTTACTAGTTAAGAAAGCTAGGCTCCTCAATGAAATCGCTTTAACATGCTAATGCATTGGTGTAACAGTCCGGGCGTGGCAAGCTGCTAATGTCTCCCGAAAGGAACCCTTCTTTCACTGGAAGACAATGAACATATTCTACCTGTACATGAGAATATAATGCTGGCGCGTGGGCGCGGTGGGGTGCTGTACCAGCTGTCAAAAATAAAAGTTGTTTTTTTTAAAGTCAATTGAGTGTCCATAATATTGCAGTAAGTGAAAAGACCACGGGCATTCTTCCTCCCCCTACATTCTCAGAGTAGAATAGAATTTTCCTTTGACAAAACAAGGCTCGCCAGATAATGTGAATCGAAACCTGTTTTTCTAGCTTTTAAAGCCGTGCGATGTGTAAGCAGGAACACATCATTGTATCTTACATATGAAAAATACATAATATAGCTCCCAAACAAACGCAAACGTGTTTTTAATAAAATGCTTTTATTCATTATCTGACAATTTCAGGAAGACTAAGGAAATTGTCATCTGTTGTTGAAGCTCTGTGAGCTCGGTGACTTTGAGACCACTTGTTATCCCAAGTTGTTTGAATCGCCACAATTCTAATAGAGAAAAAAGAGCTGACTGATAAGATTTAAGATGTGGCTGTCAATGTTGGATTAAAAAAAACACGTTGCCCGATGTTAGTTGCATTGCTTGAAAAATAATCTTATTTCGAGAGACTGGATAAGTTTTTCAAGTGTTTTTTTAACTTCCTGAAAAACAACTAATAATTTAACAATATGTGCAAACGTTTTTTCATGATATGTCGCTGTTGTGAATGTCTGTGGAGTGTATCTTATTTGCCTGTCTGTCCTTGCTGTGCTCTCTCACTCGCCCTCCCCCCCCCATCTCTCTCTCAATTCAATTCAATCAGTGTTTGGTATTTACTTTGTAATATGTATTGCTTTGAGATGCCACTTTTAAAGGTGATATATAAAATCAAGGCTTTAACTTGCTTTAATCCGCAAGTCTGAGTTCTTGTGTCCGTCCTATCCGAGCCCGAAAGTATTACAATATGTATCCTTATAGCAGGTTTTGTACAGCTTTTTAGTATAGATTACACTTTTCTAAAATGTATTTAAAAAATAAAAACGAGTACAATCTAATCTTTCCACATTTGATCCCAAGATCCCAAGAAAAATAAATCTAAACGGGAAGAAAGCTATGCTGAAAGTTTATTAAGATACTTAGAAGACAAAGATATCAATTTATGTTGCATTTGTCTGATTGTGAATCAAAAAACACATATATTTAAACACGCATTTGCGATTTAAATCAAAACGCGATTTAAATCAATATAAATGTTTATATTGTAACGCATAGGTGACTATTCATTGTTATTAAAATGACTTAAATTCGATCATGTTGTGATATTTAGAAATATACATTTGTTTGGTGTGAGTGAAGTTTTATTTAATCTCTGACCCAGGGAAATGTTTTATTTTTTCAAAGAAATGTTTGTTAAAAAAAAGTCATGGCTCCGGCTGGATTCTGGCTTGTGTTGCGGTACATGAATATAATTTTATCGTTATTATTTCTTTAGATACGCAATTTCATATTATATTAGCAGAAAAGCTTAAAACTACCACTTTTTTTACACGCTATTTCACATGTTAGTTAAAGACTTCGATGCTTAAAATGTTTAGGGAGAAATGGAATACTGGTGTGTATTTTTTCTTTAAAGTACCGATTCCTGGAATCTGATTGGCTGACACCCTTCTGAAGTGGTTCCATAATATCTGGTATACGGAAAAGAAAGCATTGATAAAAAAGCCTGGATTCTCATGTATCTGATACAAGTATCTTATAATACAGTCTTTGATGTGCTATTGAGGATCCTTGTGATATTCTGAGCTCTGGTTGAATGATAAGTGTCGCAGTTTAAATAATTTTCTTAGAAATTATGAAACGCTCTGTTAGAAGCAAGGGAGTTTTTATGTCCGTTGCAGTAAAAGAAAATGCCTGACAAAGTAGGGCTTAGACAGATTCCAAGTGCTTGTGCAAATGTGCTAAAGAAATTAGCAAAAAAAGTCATTCCTTTATCGTATTGGCTAGCTAATGTCCTGTCGTCATTAGTTAGATCTACAAAATGCTGTGGTGTTTGTTAAAGAAAGTGCTCCCTGTTGCTCCGTGGTTGGATCAGCCTATTACTGAACGTCCTCTTCATTTTCACAAGTCATAGAGATGGGATGGGAAACTTTGATGACCATTAATTTGGACACCATTCTCGTTACAACCGACCAATACAACATATGGAGCATCTTACTACACACACTACTCCTCAAGAAGTAAAGTCTGCTCTGACCCTTCATGTAGATGGCCTCAGTATTCTTAGACATTTCTAGTGTATTGTTGATGTGCACTCCATTGTATGAGTCCATTATCTCCACGCCACTCCCATGGATGCAGTAAATTGGACTCTCTTCCTCCTAAAACCTATCACCAGCTCCTTCATCTTTGCCACGTTCAATTGCAGGTGGTTTTCCCCACACCACTCCACAAAGCTGTTGACCATTTCCTCTGTACTCTTCCTCCTGCCCACCCTTGATACGTCCCACAATTGCAGAGTCGTCTGAGAACTCCTGTGAGCGGCTAGACTTTGAGTTGTATTTAAAGTCTGAAGTATAGAGGGTGAAGAAGAATGGAGAAAGAAATGTCCCCTGAGGAGCCCCTGTGTTACTCATTACCTGTTCATACACACAGTTCTGCAGTCTCACAAACTGTCTGCCTGTCAGATAGTCGTGATCCATGATTTGAAAGTTCATTGTGTTGGCAAATTTTAGAACATATCTAACACTGTCTGACTGGAGATTGCAAAATTTAATTTTGGATTCACATATACACACAGTGTATGTGCTGTTTTATTATAGTGCTAATATTTACTGGTCTTTGTTACTTGACATAACATCTGTACCTTCCCTGTCTTTTTACAGCAATAGGAAAAGGATGTCTGTTATTGTACGCACACCTTCAGGAAACATAAGGCTATACTGCAAAGGAGCTGTGAGTTATCTTTTTTCACATATCCTCTGTACTACTTAAAAGTCAAGTCAAGTCAAGAAAAAGTGTTTTAATTTTTTTTTAAAGTGTTTAATTTAAGTTAATCTGTTCAATTTACAGTTCTAACATTTACCAAGCAAATGGTAAATGTTAGAACTGTACATGTACAGGTGGAAGTACAGGGTTCATTCTGTGTCCTATTGTTCTACTTCTTCTGTTGTGTAGCATTATCACTACTGATAACATTTATATAAATCCTTCCAGAATAGTTAAGTATTTTAATTGTTTTTCTTTGTATTTTTGAGACAAAAGCAAATATTCACCTGTATTTGAATTGTATCTTATCAATTGTGAATACCAATTTAGCTTAACCAGTGAAGCTGTTCCTTGCATTTAAAGTACATTTTCCAAAAACAATTCCCATGTTTTAATGTGGTACAAGCTTTATTAAAGCGTCTCCTTTCTGTTAAAAAGCAGATTACAAGCTTTCCTGTGAAAACAAGTGAATTGATTTTTCTACACCAAAGAGCCTCTTTCTTTGGATGGCATGTTGTCATAAGTAGTCACTTCAAGCATACCTCCTCTTATTTTAGAATTATATTTGTCTTTTTGCATAACGCTTGCATAATGTAATGCTCAGCTTTTGTCTACATTAAATATTGTCCAAATGTTTGTTTAATCTTGAATTGCTTATAAATCTTTTTGAATCTCATTTGCTGCTTCCATAGTATTTGCTATGCATAATATGTTTACTTGTTTGGTAATCTATAAACTTGTCTAGTTATTACTTATACCTAGAATTACTGTTAAAATATATATAATTGATATAAATTAGCAAGATTAATGAACATTAATTTGAGCTGTTTTCTATTATCCAATTCTCAATTGAAATTTACTGCTACCGATTTATTTTAGTTGTTTTTAAGAGTGAAGACCATTGAGACCACTGAGTGGAAAATTAAATGCATTAATGTAGTAAGTCCAAGAAAAAAGCCAACCACATCCTGTGAAGAAAACTATTATGAGATCAATAGATTACAATATCAGCTTTTTCTTATTTTGATTTTTTTTCAGAAAGAGACAATGGAAATATGTTGTATTTGTTGAGTATTATTATATCAGTAGCAGGATTTCATACAAATCATGCTGCTATCTTCAGTGCTTTTCCTTTTGCTTTTAATCATTCAAGCATGTATGAGTCTCCAATTAATATACTTGCCAAATTGTTTACTCATATTAAATACAAAGTGCTTCTTATTGTCTTTGAAGAAAAATGTGTTACCTTTTCTACAGGATACAGTGATTTACGACCGTCTTGCTGACAATTCCAGATATAAGGTTATTACCTTAAAGCATTTGAAGCAGTTTGCTACTGAAGGTTGGTGAAATCATTAGAACTGTAAAAAAATAAAACTGGAAAATATTACATTTTAATGAAATCTGTTTCATTAAAATGTAATATTTTCCAGTTTTATTTTTTTACAGTTCATTTTTTCATGAAAGCATGCTACTTTATGTAAATATGAATATTTATGTAAGTTTTGAACTTAAGTACATTTTACTCAGAAATGTGTTATATTCCAGTTAAATGTATTACTTTGATCGGTATTGATTAAATTATTTATATACTTTACATTCTTCATTTTCTAAATCACGGTTTATATTGTGTATTTTTTATACTTCTATACAGCAGGATAGCTATAAATGTATTTAGTAAATGAGAAACAGACCTCGATTGTTACGATGAGGGTCAAAAGTAACTTGCAACAGAAAAACAGTAATGAAGATCAATTCAGTACCCTTCGTTTTCTTTCCCCCGTCTGTCTCTTACAGAATACACTTCTCTTAAAAATACAGCATTAACAACCCCTTTATCCATCAAAGTCTTCATGCCATAGACATTGATTGAGATCAATAACAACTGGTAACAAAGGGCTTAAAAATAATTTTTAATAACATTCTAACATGACTAATACAACGTGAAAGACTGAAGTTGTAGGAACATTGAATCATTTGTATTTTCGGTGCATTGTAAAGTGTTAGGTTTCCATATCATTGGTCAGAATAAATATAATGTACCATACACAGCAGTAATATTACATAAACAGGGAAGAGTGAATTTATACATACACAAGCTGTTCTCAAAGCAGTCTAAAAATTGGTTAGATCTCACAAATCTATGCTTAACCACACAGATTTTTGGTAAAGCCTTTCTCATCCTTTGTTTCATTTTCATTAATGTCATCCTCTGAATTTAAGCATCTAAGTGTCCTTAATATAGGAACTAAAATGTTCATCAATGCTGAAAATACACATCTTACACCAAAAACACTGTTTCATTTTCCTTTATCCCTTAATGTTGTCAGTACAAAAGTGACCTTTAGATCTGAGGTAATTAACTAAATAACCTAAGTTCATTTTTTGTGCCCTGCAGGGTTAAGAACACTGTGCTATGCAGTTGCTGACATATCAGAATCTTCATACCAGGAATGGATTAAGTTGTACCATCGAGCATCTACCGCACTTCAAAACCGAGTTCTGAAACTTGAAGAAAGTTACGAGCTTATTGAAAAGGTGAGCCATTCCTGTTAATCCTTCTTGCTCTCAACGGTCAAAACCCACAAGTATGTGGTTGTGTTGTAGAAATGCAATTTGTAACTTTTGTCAAAGGTATGCCAAACCCTATTAGGAAGTGATCTTGTTATCAGTGTATTCCTCAATTTTCCTTGCACTGGCTTCCTATCAGATTTCTGGTCAACTTCAAAATCATCATCCTCATTCAGTACTTCTCTGGCTTATTATCTGTCTACTCCCCACCTTGCAACCTTTGTCCATCTGACTCTGGTCTTTAGCTGTCCTCAAGAACATCTACATGCTTTGGGTGACGGGACCTTCTCTAGCTCCACCCCAGAGCTCTGGATTTGTATCCCCAGTGATATCAGAGTCACCTACCCTGAGTGCATTTAAATCTAACCTCAAAACCTTTCTTTTCAGTGTCTGTATCTGCTTCATTTTCAAATTTTGGTAGCACTTCTAACTGCTTATCTTTCTTATATGTATTTACTTCATAATCTGTGGTCCTTATAACTGTTTTTACACCTACTGTATTGCTTTGAGATGCTACTTTTAAAGGTGTTATATAAAATAAGGTTTTTTATTATAGTATAGGGAAACATGATCAGATTTCCCCTGGCTCAGAAAAAAAATATTTTTAATGTTTAATGATTAACATACTGTAATACACAGTTTAAAATTATTAAAAGTCTAAAAACTATACAACTTAAATTTTTAATTGGAAAAAGACTGTCCCTCTGCAGTGACCGGGATTCGAAACTAGGTGTTTTCTGGCAACAGCTCAAATGCTATACATGAGACGTTAAGCTTTATTAGCTCTACCTGGGGGTCTGGTGCTTCCAGATAGTATTATCATAATTAAATTACAATGTGGTATAATGCGGTATGGTGCGCCACAGCTACTGCGTTTTAATGCAGTGTACTCTGCACAGTGTATTTATGTACCAGTGTCCATCAGAGAACCAGCAGTGCATTAGTAGGATATAAAGTACTACAAACCTGTTTCCCCAATGAAAGTCCTTCACTGTTTCTTGGTTTTCAATTGTTTAAATATACAGTAAGTAATCTGTAAACCTGTAATTATTCAAATAAAAAATATTGCAAGACTATACTTATATTTTACCTTAAAGTCTCTACAAAATAAACTTTAAATTCTTTGTATAATTCATGTCTATGGGAACTAAATCATTCCATGATTATGTAGTTAGCTATTTATATTCTGTTTATTTTCTTATAACAAGATCTAAACTAAGAGGCTAAGATTCTTGTGTGTTTTAATAATATGCTGATCTTTAGTCAGCAGATGGCAGCATTATTCTGCTAGGCAATCTTGGTTTCTAGTTTTTTCTAAGGCAAATATTTGTAATTGGAATCTTGTATGATCAGTTTGAGTTTATTTAACTGTGCAGCAATCTGTCAACGAGAATATTTCACTTTTTTTTATTAACATTCCAGATTTTATCTAGGTTGACTTTGCCAGATCGAACACCTACAAAACAACATAGTTATAAATGCATTCCTACATTTATGGTCGCATATTGTTGTTAACAAAATGCAGGCCTACATGAAAAAAAAAATCAAAATGAACTTTTTTCTAAATGTAACTGTAAAGTCGGCATATCTTAAGACAAACCCAAATAAAACAGTGGTGGAACAGTGGCAAGCGAATTGCAAAGAGACCTAGACAAAATCATGGACTGGGCAGACGCATGTCAAATGAATTTTAAATAGTTATTATCTGGAAGCAGATAAACTGAGAACAGGAGGCACCTATTTATGCAAAGGGCTGCATATGGAACAAGCTACCCATCTACATTTATTAAGCCTACGCCCTGGCTTCTTTGATTAAACAACTGGAATAGATCAATTAACTACTAACTACCAAATGGGCAAGGTGGACCAAATGACCTCCCCTCATTTGTAATGTTTCTTACATTTTTATGCCCGTATAATTTATGTCAAATATAAGTTTTATAACTTCTGTTATTATCTTATTGTGTTTTTTGTTCTTGGTTCTTGTAGCACATGGATACATTTGACTGTACCCATCTTTTAAATACGTTTCCAAGAAATTTAATAGTGAATGTCTCTGTTTAGAATTTGCAGCTACTGGGAGCAACAGCCATTGAAGATAAACTCCAGGACAAAGTCCCAGAAACCATTGAGACTCTGATGAAAGCTGACATCAAAATCTGGATACTAACAGGAGACAAGCAGGAAACTGCAATAAATATAGGTAAGGCTATCTAAAACTGAATCGGGAAGAAAAATTTTGTTATTTTTTGTTTATTGCTATGTAAAATGTACATTGAGATTTTTATGAACACGTGTCAGCGTGCGTAGGCTGCAAAGGAACAAGTAAAGGTTTATTCCATGCTGAAAAGTGAAGAAAGGAAACACAACACTTCTTTAATCCTTATATTAAACTGACACCCAAGGAAGGCTCCACAGCCGAAACAATGTGTTTCCTTTCATCTCTTTTCAGCATGACATAAACCTTTACTTGTTCCTACACATTTTCCTGTGATTCAGTTATTAAAATAGACTGAGGAAAAAACTGCCCAAGCCTTAAATGAGGTGCACTGTAAATTCTGTATTTTTGGACATTGGTTTAAAAAACAGCTGTATTAAATTGCAAAATTCTGACAAAATGTAGTACAAAATTGTGCATAGTTGGTTAAAACAAATTTCACTGATCATTAATAGTTCTTCGATGTGTTTGTCTGTGTCATTAAAGATAGAGGTAATATTTTCTTGAAAATAAAAAAAAATTACTGTAAGATCACTAAATGAAAGTACTTCAAGACAGGTTGCTCTTTACGTTGCTTCACATCTATGTAGGCTTTTCCTTTTAATATTTTTAAACTGACAAAAAAAATTAATGAATGGTACTGGTTCATAATTTCTCTAAAGCAGTTTAACAGGAAACATGAAGCAAACAGCTTTGTTAGTTTTGGCTATAATTGTAACATGTTGAATGTGTTCAAGAAACAGCAAATACTTATCCTTGCCAAAGCAAACATAATGCTGTAAAACTGTTTTTGGTAACTGAATCAAGAGTTTCTGTAACCAGTATTAACATTGTGTAAAAATGCCACTCTCTGTTTTAATAAACATGCATAAATAGTACATGCGTCTTTTAACTCATGACATGGCTGGTATACCTGACCTAGTAGATTCTAAATCATTTCACCACACTTTGATTTCCTCAGACTCCGGATTTTGACATATTTAAATATATTTGTTATATTTTTAAGAATAAACACTCTTTTTTGGTGGTATTTCACCATATTTGGTATTATTTGTAATTGTATACATTAATGCTTAGGAAGATTATTCATAAGCACTCTATTCCCTGTAGGGAAAACCGGTTCAGGGACGCCAAATATGTAATCATAGTGGCTCTCTGAAGGCACCAGTTCTGTAGGGTTTGGGCATTTACTGAGACAATTATTAATTGTAGCAGTAAATCACAAAGTTGATTCTTTTGATGGCT